TTCGTGAATTTTTTATGTTAATCCATTGGCATTCCATGTGCCAATGGTCAGTTCTCTGATGGTATTTGAACTGTTATTCACATAATTGAATTTTAGGCCGTTAAAAAGAGGTTCATCACTGAAAAACAGAAGACATGGGTCTAAAAATGCCGAAATTAACTTGAAAGCTCAACATAGCTTTCATACAAATAAAATGCCCTCATTAAAGCATCTGCTTGCCTGAGTTTAGGCATTGCTTTTTTGAAGGCAAGAAGCAGAATATGCTTATCTACCGCTGGGTCGCGGGAGATTTCGATTAAGCATTTTAGTGTAGATGAGAAGACATCATCGGAATCATTGCTACACTCTGCTGTGGCTGATACTGCTGGGGCTGCAGAGGCTTCTGCAACCGGCAGTCTTGGATTCGTGGATTTGAATCCGTGCTCGGTGGTGTTCTTCACCATCTGTGCATAAGATGGTGAACTGACGTTGCATGGGGGAGCAGGTATGGGACGTCCTGTCTCAGCGGTTGCTGTGGGCTTAAAAGAACCCTGTGGGGTGGCTGTCTGTGCAGCTGCCCTATTCTTAAGCGTGAGATTTTTACCACGAGCCCGTTTATTACCTGGGTAGCGGGGACAAGATTTATAAGAAGCAGGATGATCTCCACCGTAGTTGCAGCAAGTGGCAGGTACTTCTAAGCCTTTGGTACACTCACGTGCCCAATGGGGTCCAGAGCATCTGACACAACGGATTGGAAGGGTGCAGAGTTCCGAAGAATGGAAAAAGCCCCTGGCACCGAAAGCACTGAGTAGGGCCCTGCGGCCGCGGTAAACGCTCAATGCTGATCTCTGTGCCCCACATGTCAGTGACGGCAAACAGATGATCGAGGAAGGGGTGTGGGATGACTTGTAAATAAACAAGTGGCATTGGATGTCTGGAGCCAGGCTGAGTAAGCCGAACGATGCGATGCACTTTAAATCCCATCGCCTCAACTTCCTCTTTGATGTCCCCGATGTCTGTTTCAACAGGGAGGCCTCTGATAACAATTTTGACTGGCCGGTCCTGCTTTAAGTCGAAAGTTTTGAACTGGATGCCGGCTTGTTTCATCCAGCGGGTGACCTCCCTGAACTTCAGCTCTGTCTGAACAAATATATTTAAATAAGTTCCAGTCAGGAAGCTCCGTAAATTTGGGGCGATTTCTCTCATGAAAGACACTTGTGTCTTCCAGTTTTTGCTGCTCTTTGAGATGTATAGCCGGAATCTCCGGCTGCAGGGTGGGGGGGGGACGTTCCGTGCCTGCTCGGAATTTTCTCCCTCAGTAATACTATCGTTAGTCATTTCAGAATCATTATTTACAGCATTAACATTTAAATTATCATTAATGATGGAGTTCCTAATTCTTTCATACTTATTTGTATTCCTCTCCTTTTTAGGAGTAGCATTTTTTGAACTATTTGATAATTTAGAATTTGGAAGAGTAGAATTTGATTCTTTAATGTTATGTGCCAAATCATCTGTTGTGAGATCCACAATAGGCGCCTTCTCCTGCTTTCGAGCCGCGGGGGTGATAAACCCGTCAGAGTCGATAGTCTGCTTCTTTCGCTTCCGCGATGACGTCGACTGGCCCGGTTTCCCCCGCACCTCGTGCGTGGGTTTGGATGCCTCTTGCCCCATATAGTTAGCAGAATTCACCAATCAATTTTGATGCATTTAAAATATGGGATATTGAATTAACCAATTAGATACTGCGTTATATATTCTTAAGCTGTAAAACTCACCAGTCACGCTCAAGATTTGCTGTCGATGCAAAACTGTCGCGAAGATAAGCGTCTACGGCCAGCAGGTCACGATGCGGCGAGCATGCGCAGTATGATCCGCCGCTTCTATGACCGCCGTCTGCCACTGCTACTGGAATTACTCCAGACTGGCGACGTTTTTCGCCAATTTGGCATTGTGCTGGTCAATTTTAGTTAGGAGGTCATTCGACTAAAAGTGGAACTTAATTAGCATGTTTAATTTTTAATGGTTATGAGTGACTCTTTGTCGTCCAAAAATCTGCCGATTCTAAACCAAATCATGTTTCGAATATTGCTATTGAGAAAAGAAAAACATTCGAAAGACAAAATGCACCTTTGTACCTGGTACATTCATGCATCATAAGTGAAAGATATTGAATTACTGTAAATAAAAAAAGATGTAATAAGATATAACATTGGCCAAAATAAGAAATATAATCAGATAAAAACGGAATAAATATGCTTTGCCTTAAAAATTTTTGGAGAAAACTTGGGGTTATAATAAATTAAAACATGGGATTGTAACTAGGGATTTTTATTTCGAATGAATGTATAAATTAGTTTTTCAAGGTCTTTGCCACAAAAATTACATCATGGTATCAAAATGCATAGCCTGTTTTATTTCAGTTAACAATTTAATGTTAAAAATGACCACACAAGATGCCGATTTAACTTCAAAATTGTAGTGCTACTCATAGAACCCTTATGAATGATAACAATAAAATACACTTAATGCAACTGCATTATGTAACATTATTAATTTTCATGGATATCCATTACAAAGAAAAAACGTAGGAACTGATTATACAGTTAATGTAAAAATATAAATTGAGGAAAACCTCATATTACACCTCAAACTTTTACATTTACCGATTTAGAAATTAAGTCATACTCATGTTCAGAGCTGCTGTAAAGCTGTTTAATGTACTGCCATGTAAAAGAAAATTTTTGTCACAACGTATTCCACCTATATGAAGTAACTGTTATTATTGCTAATTAGTAGCAATGGAACTTTCAGTAACAACAGAAAACTGCAGTAAAATTGGGCTGAATTTCTTTATTTGTTTAAAATCATTCTGCTATGTTCACATATAGTTTATTTAACTGTATTTTCTGGATAAGAACAAAAAATTCTGTTTAAACTGGTGTTAGCATATGAACTGTAGTTTACAGTTTGTCATCTTATGGGTGATCCAAGAAAGTCTCGTAATTTACTGAAGATTGCAGTATCATTTTTTCATATATGGCATTCATTTGCATTAATAGAACTGTGCTGTGTATAGGAATACATATGATTTAAAATTGGAGCCTAAGATGCAGTTTTAGCTGAACACAATGTTGTTGAAAATAGTTACCTCTTTTTTATGTTCAGTAATCTATTTTGTTACTACTAATTTCTTCACCATTCATTTGAGTTTTATAATATTTTATTAATTTATTCTTCATTCCTTTTATCATTTAAATTTTATATTGTCTAAATCATGATTTCTTAGTGATTTACTTTCAATTTTTTGTTGTTTCATTTAATTTTTATATTTTAATTTATTATTTACCTATTTAGTATTAATTTAGAAACACTTATCTCTCTACATTGCATTGTTTTTCTGTCACTTCAGGATATTTGATCGGCTTGATTTAGGTGAACAGCATTTTTGTGCTTTATTAATTCAAATAATCCAGTCCTACTTCTTAAAGGAATACAACTTTTAAAATTATCACATAATCTGCACACAATCAAGTTGTAATTAAAAAATAGGAATGAAACAAATCAGCTTATTGAAGCTACACAAATCTTTTTAAATTAGAGTGAAGGAAGGAAACCTTATCACTTTTCTTTTAAGAAAACATTTCATTATATAAATTTCTATTACAATAATAATTATTTTTTTAAAGCTAAAACTATGTGTTCAACAAAATATAATTATTAATATTTAAACATCATTAATGTGTAGATAATTAATAAGTGAGGACTATATTTAAAATGTATAACATGTAGTACATAATGAGCTTTTATATTCAACCTCTACCAATGTAGCTTTAGCACATTTAAGGATTTTTTCCCTCATGTGATTTTACATTTTTATAAATGATGCACATGCAATTACATATTCTATTTATAATTATGATTTACATGTTTAAATATGGGAAACAGTAACTAATTAAAATTGATTTTAAGAAATATGTAACTGTAATACACATTATTTTTCACTCATATGTGCACAATTCATAATGATCAAATCTAATACAGCTTGCCTTGTATTATCACAAAGCTCTTGAGAAAACTTTTGTATCGGAAGATTTTATGTGCTTCAATTTTACAAAAGTACTAATACAGTTACAATTATCCATGCTTTATCTCAAATACAAAACCATTCCCAATTGTCTACCTGTTAATAATATTTACTATTTTCAACAGGATTTGTTTCCTTTTAAATTGCTTTTATACACATCAAAAGAGAAAAACTTTCGAATTTTCCCACATTCTCCAAATCACATATGTAAAGATGTTTATGATGCTTGCAGAATAAAACTCCTAAAGTTAGATCATTATATAAATATTAAGCAATATAAAGAATGCTATTAATTAAAAGTAGGAAAATATACAATAAAATGGATTAGAGAAGAAATTAAGCATGAAACAGCAGCTGAAAATAAATCTTTTTAATTAAGAAAGGAGAAAGGCAAGTCTTGTGCTACTTTTCTTATAAAATAACACAATATTTTTTTTCCAAGAATAAAATCCAAAGAAATCAAATTACGAGAAAGAACAATTTATATCAATATCAGAAAAAACTGACAGATAGTTGATGACAAGACAAAAACTGCCCTGATGAGTTCTTAATTGAAGTTTCAATAAAGGAAAATTAATTTTTATATTTTTATTATCTTGTGTATATTTTTCCATTTTGCATTTTTTGTTTTCGAGTTTGTACTACTATGATCCTTTTTTCTTTTGAATTGTATAGATTTTATGTTTAACCCCTTTACAAAGGTGCAATTATTAATATTGTTGAGGAATAGTCTTACTGTGACTCCAGTTTACTTTTAACTTCAGATGTTTTAAGTTCATTCTTTTGCTATTATTGCGAAATTCACCGCCAACACACCGCTTTGTGACTTCTGTGGAGATGAACAAAATCATCGCCAAACTGGTACAACCCTCATATTGGTCGCAGATCATATTGCGCATGCGCGCCGCACTATGACCCTGCTGACCAAAGAATCCTTACAGATTCTTTACCTAGGCTGTACCTAGACGCTTGTGTCGAGAAGTTCAAACTCATCGATTAAAGGTCGCTCTCTACATGTGTGATGTAAAGAATCATTGATTTACTTCAATCACTGCATTAAGTTGGGTGGAGGTGTGACGTCTATACCCGAATACGTAGTAATCTCTTTATCTGCATTTTCAAAAAGTTTTCTAAGAATTTTTTAAAATCGTAGTTGAATCAATATGTCTTCTAATGCAGGACGTGTTCTTGTCTATGGAGGAAAGGGAGCTTTAGGAAGTACAATTGTTTCGTATTTTCAAGCTCGTAATTGGGTAAATTGAGTAGCATTTAATTTTAGTATTTATTTCGCAATATAAATATCTTACCAAAGTCTGATGATTATTGGAGAAAATAATTTTTAAGATCAACATGCAAAATATTTTTAACGTTTTTTTTTCTTTAGAAATGTGTGAGATATTTGGAAGCATGTATGATTGCAATAAATTTATATGATGATTTAATTTAAGAAGTGATTCTTTTTTAATTTTTTTTCTGTTTTTAATTTAAAATCATAATTTTTAAAAAAAATTGTAGAGAATTTATAAATTTACATATATAGATGTAAAAAAAATTATAGATGATAGGTTTTTCATAGGATTATGCGTTAACTAGCAGAATATTAGCATTCTTATCTGTGGGTTCTGTATTAGTTTAACTAGTTTATTGCCAAGTATTAGCATGACATCTTTCCATTTCAGTTTTATTAGCATTGTATTAGGATCTGATTGTATCAACTTAATCTGTGATATTTTAAAAGTAAACCACTATGAATACATTTCCTTTATATCATCTACAGAAAACAGTTTGCACGGTTATGTAAATGAACTTTTGTTTGGTAGTAAAATAGATACTAAACTCATTTAGAAAGTGGAAGAGGAAAATGAAATGCAAAAAGACACTTTTGAGGGAACAGCTGTCTTCTTTTCATTCTGTAGTTGATTGTGTGCTGTGTTAAGGCTATCATTGTGACCTTACAGCATGTTTTATTATTTAAGATTAAGCTTAAATAATAAAACATGAAACTTAGCTGAATTTTTTTTCAAATAACGTATAAGCACTTTTACGTAAAGCTATAATATGAAGTGTAAGATATCTGATGGCAGAAGTAGAATATGTTCCTTTCCTGTATTTTGTACTTTGTGATTATTTCACTTCTAGATATTCGGTTTTCTAGTATATACATATAAAGTAATCAGATATTAAATTAAGAATATTTTTTAGAAAACCTTATTTAGGCTTGTTGCCAAAGATAAGCTTAAAAATATGTTGCTACTTTTTAAGAATTGGATCTAGAAATCTGTTACTAGTAAATATATAATAATATACATATTTACAGATTTTCTGAATACATAAATTTGTATATTTAGAAATGTAACATAAATATATAAAACTGCTCTTGATATTAACTTTGGCTAAAGGGCAGAATCGCCCACTTATTTGTTTAGTGCTTTTTACAAGAGTATGAAAAATTGGATTTTTGTCAATTTTCTTTGACTTTTTAAGTGAAAATAGGTTGATGTGTACATGGCTAAAGTCAAGGGAGTGCACAATGCCATTTTTGTGCAATTCTGGGATGTTTTCTTAATTGAAAATAGGTCGATGTGTACATGGATACCGAGTATGTGCAATTCTTAAAAACGCACCAAGCAGTGGGCAATTCTGCACTTTCCCCTTAACTTTTTCTAAATATTGCTCTTGATGAAACCACTATCAAAATTCAGCTATAGTTCATCATTGATTTCAGATGGAAAAAAGAATGTTATTTAAATTCACTGGTACTTTCAAAAGAAAAAGCTATATAGTCTGTATCTTTTAAGAACAAATAATTTTCATTCGAAGTGGGCAGATAATAATTTTATCTTTTGAAATGTAGTGAGCCTTTTCATTTGTAATCATGGACAGGAAAGTAAGACTAAATTTTGCTACTGTATTTTGACAAGCATCTCTTGCTTTATTTTGTAACTAAAATTGCAAGCAATAAATCCTAGCATAGTGTAATAGTGATGAACAAAACAAAATAAAACATTAACATAGAAATAACAAAGTTATAAATTTTTCCTTTCTTTTTTAAACTTTGCCAGTGCATGCTCTCTTGGTTGTAACTGGTTGCACATTCACTTAGCAATTAGATCCAAAGTACATTTCTTGGTCCAAAAATTGTAAAAGAAACCAATTAAAATGTGGTACAGTCAAAAGTCGTTAATTCAGACACCCATAATCCGGGTTTCAAAGCTACAAACTTTCTGCGCATGCGTCGCGTTGACACATGCGCGTAAGACCTTTACGGCTGCGAATATGCGTGTGCAATGTATAACGGACGGTATAAGCTAAGCTAAAATTATATAATTCAGTTAATGCTGCAGATTGCGTTGTTCTTTAATCTTCAAATTGGATCCGGCTTATTATTTTTTGCAGACTGTTAGAGCAGTTTTATAAAAGTAAGCTTGAACTTTCGATTATGTCAAATAGAATTTCCGATATATATTTACTAATATGTCAGGGATCTAGGAAGCAAAAGTATGTTTCGAAGCCCATTAAACAAAAAGTGGAATTGCTGCTAAAAATGGATAAAGGCATATCCTTCGTTTCTCTGACCATTCCGAAATCTGTTTATCAATTTCACGCTGCTCTGGAGGGGGGAGCGGAAACGCAGCGGCGCGCAATAAATTGGAAGTTAATCTGTCAGCACTATCCTTATCTTCAGGCCAGATGTTTTTATTTTATTTGGCTTATAATTCCTTACTAAATGTAGTATTTCATCTCGACGTACCCCGTATTTGATATGATTTAAATCAAATTCCTCGTCATTATAATTTGCTTCCGATAGCAAAGAAAGTAAAGTCAACAAATAAATATTAAGCTTTTTTATGTAAATTTTCATACCCTTTAGATCATAATTGTTCTTTATTTCATAAATTACAGTTTCATATTTTTAATGTTATAATTTCTGCATGCCATCTTACCAGATTTAAACTGATGATCTATAATACGGGAAAATCGATAATCCGGAATCGCCGAAGTCCCGACGAGTCCGGATTAACGACTTTTGACTGTAGTTGATAATTTGTTATTTTCAACTGGGTCTCATTCTCCCTTCTCAAACACTTATTGAGTGGGGGAGAATGTAAAGAAATTTCACCTTTCATACTGTGGACTGTTATGGCTTAATAGGTAGCACATTGAGCTAGCAATCGGAAGATCCAGTGTTCAAATCACAACGAGGAATAGCTTATTTTTCACATTTCCTGCTTATTTTTCATTTTTCCTGCTTTTGAAGAAATAAACAACTCTACGAGATAAAAAAGTAACCTCTCCCAAAAATTATTATTAATTGAAATGATAAAGTGAATAGATCATAGTAATCAAAACCAACGTTGAAGGAAAAGAAATATCTAGAAGTTGCATTCAAAAATAAAGCCAGTTATATATTTTCTCATCTGAAAAACAAAGACTATATTTAACTGGTTTCGGCTGATCTTTGGAATATGGTAACAGGTAGTTTGGCGACATTTTGGAGGCAATGAAGGTTACTACCTAGGACTTTGCGAATAATGTGAGAAGTTTTCAGTTCCGATTACGCATTATTTTGTGTGAGGGAAATGAGAGATCATGAGATATGTCATGTGACATTAATGGACGAATCACTGTTCTTTAATCGGAAAAGGGGGTATATTGTAAAAATATCTGCTGTACTTTATAGGAGTAGTTTCATTCTATGTTCTGTGAAACAGTGTTGTTTAATATTTGGATCCCATGGCTGTATATAAAGTAAATCCGAAATTTTTATTACGTTTATGTGTAATTGAAGAATTGCTTAATTGCAGATAAGTATGAATGTCCAATATGTGGAAATGAAATGAGATTGTGTGAAAGGAAGGATATTACAGGTAGTTTGAATGGTGGTGGAAGAAACCTGGTGAAAATGGACATTTTGTGATCCACCATGCACTCAAGATTCTGTAGAAGATTAGGTAAGTTAGTATTTTTAATTATTTGAGGATATTATTTTTATGCATTGTTCTAAATGTAAGGAGTATTATAAATTAATATGGTATTATTGGAAAATTGTTATTAGCACTGATTTAGTTTAAAGTAATTAGGATCGTAAGCTAATTTTTATTAATTTAATGTATGTGCTTATTTATATTTTAAGTAGTGTTTTTTAATTTAATTATATTTTAATTTAATGATCGTGAATTTGAGAGTTATGTGTTTGTAGTATTTTGGAATACGTTTGAGTAGAAGTAAATGTGCATGGAAAGAATTTAAGTATTTGACACTAAGTATTTGTAATCATTTTTAATGTTTTGTTATAAATTCGTTGGTGACGTTTATAATAGATAATTTAGAGGTAAAAGTTTTTGGATATTTTATTTATTTTATAAGTGCAAATGTCCATCCTTGGAAAGGGTATATACTTTTTCGCGATCAGGTAATTTCATATATGTCCTTTTTACCGAATTTAAAGATTCACAAAATTTTCATGCATTTTCGTGAAATTTTTCTAATTTATGAGAAAAAAGCAGTGTACATGGATATAGTGAAGAGTGGGCGCAATGCCATTTTTGTGCAATTCTGGGATTTTTTTTAAGTAAAAATAAGTTGACGTGTACATGGTTTAGTTAGATTTTAATTAAATGATAGTTATTTTGTGAATTTTATGTTTGTAGGAATTTGGTATACGTTTCAGTTGAAGTAAACGTGTATGGAAATAATTTAAATATTTGACACTTAAGTATTTGTAACTATTTTTAATGTTTGTGTATAAATTCATTGGTGACATTTATAATATAATAGATAATTTAGAGGTAAAAGCTTTTGGATATTTTATTTATTTTATACGTGGAAATGTTCATTCTTGGAAAGGGTATATACTTATTCGCGATCAGGTAATTTCATATATGTGCTTCTTACTGAGTTTAAAGATGAAGAAAATTTTCCTGCATTTTCGTGCAAATTTTTGTAATTTATGAGAAAATAGCAGTGTAGATGGATAAAGTTAAGAGTGTGTGCAATGCCATTTTTGTGTAATTCTGGGATTTTTTTTAAGTAAAAATAAGTCGACGTGTAAATGGTTTATGTGTATGTGCTATTCTGAAAAACGCGCAAAGAGTTTGCGATTGTGCACTTTTTCCCAATTTTGCAGTTAATATTTGTCATGATTAAGCAGTTTTGTTACATAAAATTTCTAGCATAAGTGTAATTCGGCTAGTAGATTGTTGGAAAAAGTTGAGTAAATAAAAAGAAAAGAAACATGTCTTTATTTCGTGAAGACAAAATGGCGGCGGGGAAAAAAAATAGAGGGTTGCTGTAACAGAGTTTGTCGCCAAATTTTTGCCAAAAAATCGCCAAGTTACCATAATCCAAAGATCAACCCTGGTTTCGTTCAAATAGATTATCTTCCTAATTTACCATTAATTTAATTACTTAAATTTTTATATTTAATGTTATATTTTTGACCTCAGCCGGTCATTTTGAGGTTTTGAAATATAGTAAGATATGTGATTGAATGATAAATTCACTTAATAAACCCATGACTTTTCTAATTTAGTGTTGATATTTTATCTGTTTTTTTTAAATTAGTATTGATTGTTATTTGTAGTATTTTTTGTTATTTATTAATGCTTGCAATTTTGTTGTCTTATTTGAGTTTTGATATGTTTTCATTTAGTATGTAGTTTATGTATCTTTTAATTTTAGCCCTTTGTTTTATTGAAATGACATTGTTTTATGTCTGTAAGACTAAGAAATGTAAGATTATATAGCACTGTTTTAAGATGTGAAGTAAATATCAAGTCACTTTTGGTGACTTGCATATTTATTCTATATTGTAAAATTTCAGCATGTAAAATACTTGTAAAACATTAAATGATTATCTATGCAAAAACTTGTAATAATCAATTCATTTTATAGTGGGTAGGATCAATAGATATGAGTCCTAATGAAGAAGCTCATGCTAGCGTAGTAGTACAACCAACAAGCTCATGGGATGAACAAGAATCTGCTGTTTTAACTGAGGTGCAGAAAGTGCTAGATCAGGAAAAGCTTGATGCTCTGATATGTGTTGCTGGAGGATGGGCTGGAGGAAATGCTTCAGCAAAAGGTAAATCACACAATTTTATTTATAATTATTATTTAAAATTTAAGAAATTAATTACTATTTAAACCTGTAGCATTTTAACTTTTTCTTAAATGTTAACCAGTATAACCAGTTTTGTTTACTTAAGTCAGTGTTTGTCAATCTTTTTTGGGGAAACCTCCCTTTAAAAATATCAAGAATTATTTGTGGTACACCTGAATATAAAAAATGTAGAAGTTTTATGATTTAAAAAAAAATTATTTACAAAATTGATTCAGAGAGAGGGCTAAGCCTTCTTGAAAAAATTTAATCAAAAACGAAGTTCCAAAGTTACCAGAAACTTTGCATTTCATCGTCAACTTTTGAAAGTTTTTCTCGCTTTCTGGACTTGATTTCTGATAATGCTGAAAATCCAACTTCATGGAACTATGAAAATGCAAAAGGCAGAAGAATTTCAGTAGCTTTGAAGCCAGTTGCTGGATTCTGATTTTTGACAGAAATCCAAAACTGATCCAAATTTTCATCAAAAATCCCATACTGAACCATAAAACATCTTTTCTCAAATCATTAAACTTTTTTTTTTCTCAAATTTGGTGTCTTTTTCTCTTTTGACTGTTCTTCAATCTATTTGGATTTCTTTCTTTCTTTGATATCTGTATGCACAGACACATTAAAAGATTTTTTTTTCCAGAATGATTTGTAAAATGAATTAAAAAGGGATTTTTTGGTGCCCCCCCCAATATATGCATGTATGTATGTGTGTGTCTCGCATTACTCAAAAACGATCGTTGAAGTTTTATGTATGGGGTTGGTATAACATCTAGTTGTGCATCTCCCTTTTTTATTGTTATCAGCACTACCAAACATAAAGCTATACATATATATACATGTAAAAAAAAATAAAAAATATGTAAATATAAATTATAATTTAAATAACTTAAATTAGCAGCAGCCCCTTAGTTCTTAATTTTAATTTGTTTATTTCCTATCTTTATTTTAAAAATAGTAAACTTTTTATGCTCTGCTTCTTTTAGAGATTAATCCATTTCAAATGACTCTTCATTATTCTGGTGATGTAAATGGAATTAAAACTCAAACAGCTAATAATAATTTTACAGCATTATTAATTTCCAGTCATTTGCATTGAAAATGAAACTATATCATTCGGGATTAAGATTTCATCCTGAACCTAGTCATTTGCTTTTTGCACTTCGGCCTAGATAAACTGCTACATGCTGTTGCTTCTTTTACCACAAAACTATGCAAAATGTAAAAGTTCTTGAAAAGGCACGAGTAATCTGTTAATTTTTTTATGGCCACAAATGTTTACCAAAATAAAAATCAATACAGTCAAAAGTCGTTAATCCGGACACCCATAATCCGAAATGATCTATAATCCGGACCTCAAAGCTACAAACTTTCTGCATATGCGTCGCGTTGACGGCGCGGCATGCAATGAACTGGAAGTTGATCTGTCAGCACTATCCTTATCTTCAGGGCAGATGTTTTTATTTTATTTGGCTTATAATTCCTTACTAAATGTAGTATTTCATCTTAATGTATTCCGTCTTTGATATGATTTAAATCAAATTCCTCGTCATTATAAATATCATGAATACACATCAAATAGTTTTCTGGCTGCAATTTTCTAATTTCGATTATGCGTAATGTATGCTTTACACATGCAGGCGTTGAAAGAGATGTTTAATAAAGTAAACAAATAAATATTAAGCTTTTTTTTAAATTTGATACCTTTTAGATCATAATTGCTCTTTATTTCATAAATTATGGTTTCATATTTTTAATTTTATAATTTCTGCATGCCATCTTACCAGATTTAAACTGATGATCCATAATCCGAAATCCCGACGAGTCCGATTAAAGACTTTTGACTGTATTTAATCTGCCATGGCTGTCAAATTCTCTTCATTACAAATCTACATCTATGGAATGCAAAATTTGTACATCTCTGCCATCAACTTATCCTGCAATATTACAGATAAGCTTGATATGCTATATTACCCTTCCCTTACTTGGCTTAAAAGTCCTTTTCTGTCTTTTATTTTCATAATCGTTAGTCTTAATCATATACTTGTAACTAAAAAGTATTTTAAATGACTTTTATTTGTATAGTGGCGATTTTTGCATAAAAATTGTCAGTTACAAAGTTTCGCTGTTCAAATCCTATAATTGCTGTGTCGAGAATACCGACTAATTTGTCAATCGTTTTCAATAACCTCTGTGTCACTTTCTTCACTATGGGAAGCAAATTATGATGATGAGGAATTTGATTTAAATCATATCAAAGGTGGAGTACATTGAGATGAAATACTACATTTAGTAAGGAATTATGAGCCAAATAAAATAAAAACATCTGCCTTGAAGATAAGGATAAAGCTGACAGATCAACTTCCAGTTCATTGCGCGCCGCTACATCCCCCACCCTGCAGAGCAGCGTGAAATTGATAAACAGATTTTGGAATGGTTAGAGAAACAAAGGATATGCCTTTATCCATTTTTTGCAGCAATTCCATATTTTGTTTGATGGACATCGAAACATACTTTCGCTTTGTAGATCCTTTGGGAGCTCCAGCATCGGAAATTCTATTTAACATAATCGAAAGTTCAAGCTTACTTTTATAAAATTGCTCTAACAGTCTGCAAAAAATAATAAGCCAGATGCAATTCGAAGATTACGGAACATTACAATCTGCAACATTAACTGAAATAGATAATTAGATAATTTTAGTTTATACTGTCTGTTATACATTATGCGCATGCGCACACACATATGCGCAGCCGTAAAGGTTGTTGGAAAATATAGCTTATTTTAAACCTTTTACTGCATCATCTCTCCTCCTTGAAATGTTTATTTAGTTCTTATTTTAATGTAATATAGTAGTTACTTCTTTTTCTTGCTGCCACTGTTTGCATTTAGAACGGACTGTTTCAACCTAATTGAGATGCAAAAACGAAACGTGACGTTACGTCATCTGAGAAGCCGATTCATGCCGATAGCTGATTGGTTGCCGTGAGATGACGTCATTCCTACTTCTGCTATAAGTATCTCGCGTCGCTCTGGCTCAACCCCCTTCTAGTTCCTGCTTTCCTGGCACTTGAGTGAGCGGTTTCCAGCCCCTTCAGAAGGATGCATGCAGTCCGGTGATTAAAGTGCCTTGGTTCCAGTTTGCGGGATGGCGGATGGCTGTTCCGGAAAAAGTTCCTTGGTTCATATCCATAAAATGATTGTTCCAGAATAAAGTTCCTTGGTTCCAGAGGCTACCATATGAGTGACTGCTGTGGGCGGCATCCATGTTCTTCAATGAAGGCGGAATTTAAAACACGTGAGCGGCGATTCCTTGTGCAAACGGAGTTAGGCCGGTTTTAAGTGCTTTCAAGAACTTCATTTAAATATTTTCAGGTGTTTTTCTTGACCATTGATTATGGACTTATTGAATGTGTAGCCAGCTTCATTTTTAGGCCGCTTAATTACTGTTTAGGACATTTTATTTGTATTGAATGCCAGTGTTTTGGAGACCAGGTAAAAATATTATTTGATGAATGATGGTTATATTATATTTTCCTAAGACTCTGATATTGTTGAAATTTATTTTCTGTGTTTTTATTATTTATTATATTGTTAATAAATTGGTTAAGTTCAAAATCTTTTATTGTCTTCAATGTCTGCACAACATATCTCAGGGAGCTTTTATTGCTACTACTGCTAAATGTTTAATTTTTTTTCAAACTTTAAACTTTGCTTTAGCATCATTTTGGTTATGGGCCCAGCTCCTGAGTTATTTTTAGTGCAGACTTTTGAAGTTTAAATTTAATTTAGGACTTAAGAGATTGGGGGGGGGGGGGGGGGGGGGGGGGGGGCGGTTTTTGTTAAAATTCAAATATGGCTACTGTTAGTGTCATGCATAATATTGCTAAACTTGATGCATGTAATTATTTTACATGGTCCAAAGATATGAAGTTTGTCTTGAATGAAAAAAATGCATGGCTTTTGGTCAAAGGTATTGAAAAATGTCCTGATTTAAATGATGTTAAGGGTATTACAAAAGAAATTATTGCCGACTATCAAAATAGAAGTCGATTGGCATTATCGTTAATTTATATGAATGTAAGCCCTGAATATAGAAACTTGATATGTGAAATTGATGACCCGGTAGTGTGGCATGGAATACGCTTGCCAAATACTTCCAGCCAGATTATCGGTCTAAGACATATGTCCCTGTTTTCAGAGTTCTTAAATTGTAAAATTAAGCCAAATGAAAGTATTAGTTTCTTTTCTTTTTCTTCTAGATTAAAACGCGTAACTGAACAGTTAGCTGATATTAATCAGGCTGTAAGAGACGTATATATATGTTTCCAGTTTCTTAGGTTCCTTCCAGATAAATTTGATCAAGTAGTTCAGAATGTTTTGAGGTGGCCAGATGAAAAGTTCATATTTAAAAATGTTGAACTTGAAATACTAGCAGAGGAAACGCGTCTACTTAACTTTAAGAGAGATAGATAGGGAAAACTCCAATAAGACTATAGAAGTTCAAAGTACTCACTGTGAACCCAAATTTAAGCAGATTAAAGGGCTCAAGTGTTATAAATGTGGCCGTCCAGGTCATATTCAAAAATACTGTAGAATGAAAGGTAATTTTTCCAGATCACCCTCACCTGCTTCTTCTGTTTCCTCAGCTGTATCTAGTAGTAATAAAACATCTCCTAAGTGTAAGAATAAACCCAAGTTGAGTAAAGGTAAAAATAATTCCCATGCACAGTCCCATTTTATAGCTCAAGCTAATGTTAACAATTTGGAAGAAAATGATGATAGTTGGATTTTTGATACGGCTGCATCTCATCATTTTTGTAAAAATCGTGAATTGTTTGATACTTTTTCTCCTGTGAAAAATGAGAATATGCTAGTAGCTATTGATGGGGTAACTTTTCCAATTCATGGGAAGGGTACTGTTAAAATGAAATTTGGGGATACGGTTATTTTGCTTTGCTTAAAGATGTGTTATACT